CTGGTTCCCGGATCAGTAGCTTGGGGCCTGGCCAGGGCTTGTTCACTGCAGAGGAAGCAGCTGCTGCTGCACCATTAGCACTGTGGTACAGGACTTCCTGGTTGTCTTCTGCAGTGAGACCTACAGCAACTTGCTGGTGTTGGGCAGTGTCATTTGGTCACCCAGAGAGGTGAGTTCTCCTTCTGGGAGATGATTTCCAACCTGTCTCTCTGCAGCCATCCGAACCCACACAAGGTGCTGATCCTCAGGGACAGGGCTAGAGGCAAGCTGTGGGAAGGGGCCGCTGTGGTCCAGTGAGAAATTGATGAGGATGTCATTCACAGTTTTAAGAAGTTCTGTTAGGTAGTCTAGCTTAGGGGCTGAGGCATCCATTACGCATGACCAGAGGTCCGAGCTACCCGAACAAGGAGGGGCACACTGTACATGCTCAGAGATTCAGGTTTCCGGCCAGAAAGGGGAGGTACACCTGGGTGGGTGCTGCACCTGGATTGGCCCACCTAGGCCAGGTGAATTCAATTCAGCCAATGGGGTCGACCAGGGTCGTCCATCATGCCTCCCCACGGAATCATTGAAAAGGTCGGAGGCCGGAGCTTTTCCGAGCACCTTCTAGGGAGGTTGCACGGGGTGACGGGCTCTGCGGGTGCCTGTGTAAACCTGAAACTGCGTCTAACTCCCATAAAACTCACTTGGATCACAGACCAAGCTTCGGCGTTAATTCTTTCTCACGCAGAGCCTAGGACCGAGGTGTATCTCTTCCCTGAGAGATCTAATAGTTCCTGCTTGGCATGGCTGTTGGCATGGCAATTTCAGCTCAGAGACAACGGTTTTGAGTTCATGAAACAGAGCCAGGATGTCTGGGATGTTATCGCCACTGACACCTCAGACCCCATGGGTGCCCCATGCAGAGAACCTTCAAGGAATCCTACTGCTGGCGCATGAGGACCGCCCTCAACCCGGACAGCATCCTCTGACATCACAGTGCCAGTAGCTGCACCTGGACCACCTTAAGGAAGTGCTGCAATTCTGCAAGTCGCTTTCCCCCTTTGTGGTCTATGCCTACTGCACCATCCCCACCTACCCCAGCGTCCAGATCGGCTTCGTACTACAACTCCGACGTCTGTGGGCAACAAACATTACTTCCCAGGTTGGACGTCCCCACTTAATGTATGCCAAACCTAAGGTGCTGCTTGCTAACATGGTCAATGACTATACACTTGGAGGTCAACTGCTTAAAAGGTTATCTCTCTGAAGGTTATCAGCCATCGCAATCAGACCCTATTGTCTGTCTCACCCTAAGTAGAGCCCACTCCCATCCAATAAGGATAATGGATGATTCCCCTGAAGGAGAGCCCAAAGACATCTAAGGTCAAGGCAACTCAGGGAGGACCGAGGTTAGGCTGCCATCTTGACTCTAGAACCCACCTATCTTGTTTGTCACATGTATGCATCTAGTGCCTCCCCTTCCTATTGTGTGTGAATACCTGTAGCTCATCCGCCTCCTGTCGTGCAACCACTTCCTGTTACTTATGTGGTTACCCGCAATCAGGGCGGCTTGCACGCCCTCTGAGTGTATAAACCTTGCTTGGAAATATATCCTCTCTCTGCATGGATCTGGCTGCTGAAGTCACGATGGTCCCGGAGGTGAGTAATCACATGCTTTCTTGTCTGATGTCTCTTTAATTTTACCCTCAATTACACAACCGCTCCCTGGACCCATTCAATTGTGGGGGCTGCTACCCCACAGATGTCCACCATCCAGCCCTTGTGTAGCCAGTTTGCCCACAAGGCCCTCCCTGAACATTGTATGACAATTGACCTGTGTTCTCCCAGCCTACGGGCCTGACTCCTACTGACCCCCTTGTAGGAGTTTGGTTATGTCTAAGAAGTATTCTTAAGCTTGTCCCTCTATGCGCTACCATATTCAAGGATAGATTTGCAGCAAAGATACGTGCCCATATACAAATATCCCGCCAAATTTATATATTCATGGGTATACTCCCCCTCCCCCTCCCATACCTGTGTCAGCTTCAACTCAGAGACCACAATTGCAGGGTTGTAGATGTGTTTGCCTGCATTACCTTGCAAATCTCCCAGTGTCATGTGTCTTGCCTTCTCCTTCACACAAGTTAGCACCTGTCTGCCCTCCCCTTCCCACACCTGGTAACCCCCAAAATATCATTTGATGTGATGATCCCTGCTTGGCTTTTTGTAATAGTGGTCTCATCCAGTATTTGTCTTTTTGTAATTGACTCATCTCACTCAGCAGAGCGTCCTCCAGGTTCATCCTTGTTGAGGTATTTTTCACATTCATTGTTACCCTTTAATGTTGCATCATATTCCATTGTATATACCAACGATGCTTTGTCCACTGTTCTACCGACTCGTAGGTGTTTAGATTCTTCCCACATTTTTGTTATTGTGAATAGTGTTGCATAAATCTATTTGTGCTGCAGCTCTTGTATCTTTAGGATAGATAACAGGCAGAGGGATTGCTGGGTCATATATTTCTATTCCCAATGTTTTGAGGAAGCGCCAGACTGCTTTCCACTGTGGTTGTAGTTTTACAGTCTCACCATCAGTGAATGAGGGCTGCAGCGCTCTATACCAAGTATGTTTTCCTTTAATAAATCATTTTACTGGGAGTTCTTACAGCTCTTATAACAATCCATACATCGATTTTATCAAGCACATTTGTGCATGTTGCCATCAACATTTTCAAAACATTTTCTTTGTACTTGAGCCCTTGGTATTAGCTCATTTTTACCTCCCCCCCCACACCCTTAATTCTAATTTTCATATATTACACTATCTGCTGTCTACTTTCACCCATGTTTCTGTTGCTCGCACCCTTCGGGGTGGGAGGTAAGGGCGTTTATACGTTGATCATTGAGATCGATTCCCCCTTTCTTCCCCTTATCCTCATGGTATCCCAACTCCCAGTACTATTCGTGGGAGGCTTATCTGTCCTGGATTCTTTGTGTAGAGAGTTCTTATCTGTACCAGTGCACATGCTCTGGTCTAACCGGATTTGTAAGGTGGAACTGGGGTCATGATAGTGGGGAGGGGAGGAAGCATTAAAGAACTAGAGGAATGTTGTGTTCTGTCATTGCACTTTGTTATAAATGCAGGTGATAGCTCACTGTTGTTTTGATTGGCATCTCTCATTCAAACGGCTAACAATTGCAAGCATTTTTTCCTGTTTGTTGGCTGCATGAATGTCTTTTTTGGTGACCTGTCCATGCCCTCTGGTAATTCTGGATTATTTCCTTTTCTTGTTGTTTCTTCTCTCATTCTTTCAGATTACTCCCTTGTCTGCTGTGTCACTGCCAAATGTTCAGTCTGTAGGTTCTTCTTACACGTTGGGTGGTCTTTTGATGCAGAGTGTCTAAATTTTAGGAGTTCCCAGTCATCTATTTTTGGGGTGGGGGTGGGGGGGTGAAGGCTGTACATTTGTTTCGATAGTGTATCATGTCCCTGTATTAGGGCCGTTAAGTTTGTCCCAATTTTCTCATTGATGATCTTTATAGTTCTCGGTTGTACATTTAGGTCTTTAATATATGTCAAGTTCGTGCTTGCACACGGAGTGAGATGTGGATCCTATTTCATTCCTCTGCAAATGGACATCGTTTTGCCAGCACCATTTGTTAGGGACTCTTCCTCATTTCATGTGTTTCGGCCCTTTGCCAAAGATCAGCTCTCCTTGGGTGGATGGATTTACTTCTGGTTTCTCAATCACTCTTCATTGGTCTGTGTATCTATCATTGTACCAGTGCTAGGATGTTTTGGATACTGTGGCTGTGTGGTTCTAGGTTTTTTGTTAACTATAAAAATGACTAGCACATTTAAAGCCATTATGCAAAATTTTGGTTATTAACTTTATCTATACAAATACTATAATAAACAATATTTTGTAAAAATCAGTGATAACATATGAATGTTGATGGCCAATTTAATTGATTTTGTGAGTTCCAAGATAACTAGGTTTTATTAAGCGGAAACTTATGACTACTTGTCATGAAACTGTAGCTTTGTATTGAATAAACCCGACTTCAGGATCTCCTCCAATTTCTCCGGTTAAAGCGTTTCCTGCTCTTCTAGCTGGAATCCTACAACACTGTATTTTAAGGCATCATTTGGGAAGATTTTTTTTCCTTTTTTTTTTTTTGAGGCAGTGAGTATGTGTGAGTGAGGCAGTGAATGAGTGACGCAGTGAGTGAGAGTGAGTCACTGACTGAGGCAGTGAGACAGTGAGAGAGTGAGAGTGAGGCAGTGAATGAGAAAGTGAGTGAATGAGAGAGTGAGGCAGTGAGAGGGTGAGAGTGAGTCACTGACTGAGGCAGTGAGAGTGAGGCAGTGAGTGAGTGAGAGCGAGTCACTGAGTGAGGCAGTGAGACAGTGAGAGAGTGAGTGAGGCAGTGAATGAGAGAGTGAGGCAGTGAGAGGGTGAGAGTGAGTCACTGACTGAGGCAGTGAGAGAGTGAGGCAGTGAGTGAGTGAGAGCGAGTCACTGAGAGAGTGAGTGAGGCAGTGAATGAGAGAGTGAGGCAGTGAGAGGGTGAGAGTGAGTCACTGAGTGAGGCAGTGAGAGGGTGAGAGTGAGTCACTGAGTGAGGCAGTGAGTGCGTGTGAGTGAGGCAGTGAGTGACTGGAGACAGTGAGAGGCAGTGAGTGAGGCAGTGAGTGAGTGAGACAGTGAGAGTCACGCCCTGGGAAGATTTTAAATCTAATAGTACTTCAATCTAAATCTCCACTATTGGCTCTGGAACGGACCGGGTAAATACCTGTGAAGGGAAGTGACCTGGCCTGTAAGGATTAAGCCTAGGAAAGTCTATGCGCCAGTTCCACTCTGTCACACTGGATCCCTGTGAATGGGAATTAACCCGATGACAGACAACATTAAGGGATTAATATGGCTTAGCAACACCCAATTAACTGTCTTTGTTAATGAGGTAATATGATGAGGTGATTTTTCCTTCAAACTTACAGGTATAGTCTGCAAATACATGATTTTGAGAATAATTTAATGTTAACTTCAACATACAACTACATTCAGTTATCATCATTATTTGGAGTTCAAAGAAACAGATCCTTAAAAGACTGAAATAACCCACAGGCCAAGAGATTGTTTTTTTTCCTTTTCTGATTAAACAAATGTGCACCACCGATGTTTCAACAAGTAAGGCAAATGCCGTGACTGTAAAAGCTGTAGTTTACAATGTGTACCACATTTAGAACCCAGGGACTGTGAATTTGACATAAGTGGTATTCATTCTAATTAAATAACCGGGTAACATTATGACAGGTTAGCTTGCAGCCTCAGAATTGGCCATTAAGTCTCTTTTTTCTTGATGATCAGAGGTCCCACGTTGTCCCCGGTCTCTTCATTGTGCTTCGTGTGAGCTCCATCACAGAACGGGAACTAGCAGGAGAGAGAGAGCGTGTTGAATATCTAATCACAAAACTGGGATCATGTTTGGAACGGTGGATGGATGTTTGTCATATGATCACCATAACTCAACATAAAGCTTTTCTTGGCCACCTTAAAGGCTTTTTAAAAAAAAGATACAAATTTAACTTTATTTCATTTTATCAAATATAAAAACATTTAAAAAAAAACATTTTTAAAGAGTTCTCTACCACAGAAAATTAAGCAGCAGAAACTCCATAGCTTCATAGGTATAAGTTACATAAACTAAGATAAACTAATTGGATATGCTTTCAACATAAGAATTACACATTTAAATAAATGGTGGAAGACCTCTATTTTTCATTACTCATGGATTATGTCAGTTATTTTCAGGATCTAAACAAAGATTCTGAATATTCACTTTTTTTCTTTTTTGCTGTAATTTTAACTAAACCTCATCCATCTTTCCTATACTCTTGACTCAAAATGGCTGACACAGGAAGACCTTTGTAGTTTCAGAGTAAAAAATGTCCCAAGTACAGTTAACACCAGTAGAGAAATTGACATTACAATGCTGATGAATTCTGCTATGCTCCTCTAGAACACTGTGCAATGTTTTTTTTGCACTGATCTATTTAGCCAGGCACACTAACAAGGGAAGAACATAATCTCCTTTAATTCAGGATGTAAGATCCATGTAAGCGGACCAAAAAAATATTAATTCAGTAGAGTGTAATGTTTCCCCCATCTTCAAAACCAACTAATGAAAGAAAACATAACTTGTAGTTGATTTAGCTTCGGGAAAACACATTTGCGATTTGCAAATACATCCTTTTTCTCATCTCATCGCTCAGTCACTGAAAGGGATTTTGTAGGCTACCAGGCTAATTACTTTGTGGATTGTAGTAGTGAACGAACCAAGACGAACTTCCTCAGAATTGGTAATGAACGGTGGTGTTCTCTGGGTACACGGTCATCATTTGCAGTCTTGTCACACTCCATGTCAAACCGCCATCTTTCAAGGACCTCACCACTTGCAGTATCTGAGTTGACCAGACCAGGTTCTGACCTGGTTATTTATATAACCAAGGTTTTAACTGCTCTGCCACATAATTTATTTTATGAGGTCAGGACACAAAGTGAGTCCATATCTTTGCACAAGAGCAATGTTTCAGATGAATATATATATGCTGTTCACACCAACGAGAGGCATATAACTGCCGGTATAAAATGCTGTTAATGCCAATGAGAAGTCAGCTCCACGTTCAGCGCCCACACGCAGGGGGAAGCACTCTCCCGGGTGCGCTGTGGCGCCGCAGACAGAGGTGCGTGCTTTCACCGGGCGGCTCCGGCAGCAGTTCCCCACCGCTTGTTTCCAAATAGTGCAACCCCTAGGCTTTCTTAAAGAGCATCTGCAGAATATACATATGAAGGCTCTTCAATAAGTTTATGAAAATGTTTATTAGGAAAAAATTATGCATTGATTAAAAAAATTTACCAAACTCGAACTAATTTGTTATAATATAGCAGCTGCGCAGGATCTGGCTTGAGGCACTAAGAAGAATAAAGATAAGACATCGGTTTGAAAAAAAAACCTCTATCAGAGCAGCATGAATTCCACCGAAGGAGAAGAAGCAGGGGCAAACATCAAACTTAGGTTATGGTGAAGTTTGGGTGTAAGAATGGTGAAATCGACAAAGTTTTACAAAAAGTGCCATGGGGACAATGCTTCAAAGAAATCAAGTTTATAAATGGCTAACTCATTAAAAAATTTTTATATTAAATACTTTTATTGGGGGCTCTTACATTTCTTATCATAATCCATACATTCACCTATTGTGTCAAGCATATTTGTACATATGCTGCTATCATCAGTTCTTTTTAAAAAAAATCATTTTATTGAGGGCTCGTACAACTCTTATCACAATCCATCCATCTAGTGTGTGAAGCACATTTGTACATTTGGGCTAACGCATTTTAAGAAGGGATGAGATGTTGAAGATGAAGCCCACAGCGGCAGATCCTCGACATCAATTTCTGAGCAAATAATCTTGTTCACGCAGAAACAATAGCCAAGACCATAGACATCTAAACTGACTATCCGCTAACATAATTCTGACTGAAAAATTAAGGATGAGCCAACTTCCCCTCAGTTAACAATGAAAAAAGACTGCATTGACATGGTTTAATTCCCAAGACCTTCACTGTTTTAGGAAAGGAAGGAATGGCTGTTAGGGTTAGCTGACTTTAAAGAAACTTATAATGAGATAAAAGTCGATTTTATTTTTATCTTGTTGTTCAATTTTTTCTATGAAGTCTCCTTGAATATACTTTTAAAATTATTAAATACTTTTATTGGGGGCTCTTACATCTCTTATCACAATCCATACATTCATCTAGTGTGTCAAGCACATTTGCACATACGCTGCCATTATCATTTTCAAAGCATTTTCTTCACACTTGGAATAGACTTTTATTTTTTTCCCTTCGGTGACCCTCGCCCCAGACTACCGGAATATTCTTTATAAACACACAAAACTCACTGCCATCGAATTGATGTTGACTCATAGTGACCTTAATGGCAAGGGTAGAACTGTCCCTGTGAGTTTCCAAGACTGTAACTCTACAGGAGTAGAAAGCCCCAGCTTTCTCCCGAGGACCCACTGACTGGTGGTTTTGAACTACTGACCTTGCAGCTATCAGCACTCAGTTTATAACCACTATGTCCCCAAGGCTAAGTACTGCACAGGAGAAACAAATCAACTTGTGTGGCTCAACTTTCAGCTAAGGCAAACAAATGACAAGTCTGTAAGGGAGATACATACTCCTTTGATCAATCAATCATACACGATCAAAAGGGCAATGTTTGCCCAGGGATAAAGCTCAAAAGACAGGCGGGATGGGAGCCAAAGAAGAAAGGAAACGGTAAACACAGGGAGGAAGCAGGAAGAGGGTTACAGTTACATTGTAGGAAATGAGTTCATGTCATGAAAAAAAAGTGTCTGCAATGTTGAATGGTAAACCCAATTACTCTGTAAACGCTCACTCAACTCACAAGTCAAAAAAATAAACACATCAACTTACGGTTAATACACAAATCAACAATCCCATTTCCATTGCGATATTTGATTATGGATAAAGAAAAAAAATTTCCATGCTTAGATGCTAATTACATTTCTCATGAAATGCTTATGTCCACTACATATTTATTTGTAGGAATATACCTGCTGCACAAGACCTCTTTAAAGTGTTAGAGAGCAAGGATGACACTGTGAGGACATAGATGTGTCTGACCCAAGCCATGGTATTTTCAATCGTCTCAAATGCATGTGAAAGTTGGACACTGAATAAGGAAGAAGAATTTGGGCTTTTGGATTTTGGTGCTGCTGAAGAATATTGAAAGTACCATGGGCTGCCAAAAGAACCACCAAGTCTGTCTTGAAAGAAGCACAGCAAGAATACTCTTGAGAATCGAAGATGGCAAGACTTGAGCTCACGTTCGTTGGACATGTTTTCAGAAGAGACCAGTCCTTGGAAAAGCACACCATGCTTGGTAAAGTAGAGGGGCAGCAAATAAGAGGAAGACCAATGAGATGGACGGACGGACGGACGGACGCAGTGGCTGCAACGACAGTCTCAAGCCTTAGAACAATTGTGAGGCTGGCGCAGGACAGGGAGTTGCTATGAATCAGAACAGACGAGCAACAGATTCCCAGACGACAAACCAAGGCGGGATCCAGGTTGCCAAGGACTTCCTTTTGCTTGGATCCACAACCAGCGCTCGTGGAAGCAGCACTCAGGGCAGCACGTGGCACAGTGGAGTAAATCTGCGGCAGAAGACCGCCTTAAAATGTTACGGAGTAAAGACGTCACGTGACTTTGCGCACTGAGGCGTACAACAGAAGAAAGAACAAGTGTGCTTTGGACTTTTTATAAAGAAGGAGATAATCCTCAATTTACGTCATCAGAAGTCTCTATCCTGGGTGAAATGCTCACAGATTGACCATTAAGAAGTACGCCCACCCCCCGAATGCTGAAGGTGGACTTTAGGGCCAGGGCGTGGTACCCCAACAGACTGAACTGGAAAACACTCCTAAAGGCCAACAAATAATCCTTGAACTAACTACAAGCTCCGCCCCCCACCCCCCACACACACCCTGTGGCCTGGCTCTGACTCCAGTTAAGCTTTTCTTTCTTGTGTTTTGATTTGTTCTTAATCAGTGGTTTGTTGTTTTGTTGTACATTGTTGCTTGGTTTTGCTCTGTCTTGTTTTTATGCATGTTATTATCTCCACAGGTCTGTCTAAAGAACATAGGCTGGATGAACAATCTGGAAGAGAAAACAACGGGACCGACAATTCTGGGGGAAGATGGGAGAGGGGGAGGTGGGGGGAAGGAAGAGGTGTTAACAAACCCAGGGACAAGGGAACAAGTGATCCAAATTGGTGGTGAGGGGGTGTGGGAGGCCTGTCAGGGCATGATCAAGGGTAATGTAACAAAGAGGAATTGCTGAAACTCTGGTGGGGACTGAGCATGATAGTGGGACAGGAGGAAAATCAAGGGAAATATATGAAAGAGCTTGGAGGCAATGGGCATTAATAGAGGTCTAGATAAAGAACTGTACATATGCAAATAAATTTATACATGAGGATGGGGAAATAGATCTATGTGCCTATATTTATAGGTTTAGTATTCAGATAGCAGAAGGACATTGGGCCTCCACTCAAGTACTCTCTCAATGTAAGAATACTTTCGTCTATTAAATTGGCATTCTATGATGCTCACCTTCCCAACACAACTGCTGAAGACAAAGCAGGTGAATAAGCAAATGTAGTGAAGAAAGCTGATGGTGCCCGGCTATCGAAAGATACAGCATCTGGGGTCTTAATAGCTTGAAGGTAAACAAGCGGCCATCTAGCTCAGAAGCAACAAAGCCCACATGGAAGAACACATTAGCCTGTATGATCACGAGGTGCCAAAGGGACAAGTTATCAGGCATCAAAGAACAAAAAA